ACGTCCATAGTACTTGTAACTGTCATTAACTTGTGAGGTAACTAACACAATCTATTTTATTACTGATTACATTAACCTCACTGCAGCTACCATTTGTATTTATCCTTGATGTTTTAATCGAAAGGTGTTTATTTTAGTATGAATGTCATGTAGCCCTATACCTCCATTTAATTTTTTTTTGTATTAAGGTTTTGTGGCAAATGTTTCTAATCGTTTTTTTGAAAATGAACTCTCTTGTGCTTGTTTTTTTTTTAATAAATGAGTTGGGGATTGTACAGTTTGTCGCTACGAACATTATTTTTGGAATGATATATCTATTTACTAATGCAGCTCTAGCAAAGATGGTTGTGTTGCAGTATTGGTATTTTTCCAGAGTGTGATTTATTTTATTCTTCAGTGTGGCTTAAGTTTCTTGGTCGTCTTTTGTGGGATCACTGGTATAGGTTATTCCATAAATTCTGAGTTTGTCAGTTACGTTATGTGATAGTTATCTTTACCTTTGCATTTACCCATACCCATTACTTTTGATTTTTCTGCGTTTATTTTTTCCCCGCTTCCTTTCCCAAAGTTGTTGAATTTTCTATTACAGTCTGTATTGCTTTTTCTGTTTGTACTAAGAAAATATGGTCCAGAGTTTCTTCCAGGAATCTCTTTGGGGGTGGGGGGGGGAGGGAGAAACACTGTTAGTGTCGTCCGCGTATGAAAGTATGTTTTGCCTACAGTCCTTTAATCGAGTTGTCCTGTCTAATATTTTCTAGTAGGGGTTCTAGGCTAAGGATGTATGCCTATAGTAAGGGAGATAAATGACAACCTTGTCTAACTGATTTCTGTATGTGAAATGCGCTTGTAACTTGTTGTTTATTAATAAATGACTATGTGCGCTGCTGTATTATTTGTATCCATGTTTTGAAATAGTGTCCTAGGTTTTAAGCATCTATTGTTTTCATTAACCATGTATCATACATTGTATGTTTTTTTCAACGGCAAGGTGGGCTGAGGGGGTGGGAGAGGGGGTGATAAACTTTTCAAACCAACTGACGTAGCCGCGTCTCCTTCTTTCAACATTAATATATTTAAACGCAATTTTAATATTTATTATAATAAATATTCATAAATGTTTTTAGTTTTTGATTAGAATAAAACTTTATTTTAATTTACCAATATGTATATAATATAAATTTAACACATATTATATGTTACGTATGATATTACATTTAAAATAAACAATACCTAGTGAATCTAATTTTTTATTCTGTGAGCCACGAATTTCTTTTTTACGTTTATTAGCATGTTGTAAATTAAAATGAAGTTATTTCCCTTGTTCACTTTAAAATTGCGAACAGGAAGTATCCTCCACGTAATATTTAACAATAAAAACAATAATAACTAATTTTCAAATGTGCACATTATTGATGAGTTGATTTTAAGATATGACGAACTATAAGATTCTTTGAGAATGGAATCAAACATTTTAACAGCAGAGAAATTATTGTTACTTAATTTCATTTCATACTAGCCTACCCGACCCCTGCGCGTTGCCGCGGGGGTAGAAGAAAGCCTGACGAAATATATTAGAAGGATATCACCAATGCATTACCAATCCTATGTTCTTAAACGCGTGTCCTTTTCTAAAACTGTGTTATTTAAATGTAAACAATGCTTGCGCTTGGATAATAATTATCGGAACACGGGTTTTCCTACACTACCGCATGAAAACCTTGAGTGTACATTAATCACTCACCGAAATAATGAGGTAGAACACACTTCGGTGACCACCCATGTGTCAGGGACGTAGAGGGGCGCTCTCAGGAGCCCCCGACCCCCCGATTACACTACCGCATAGGCGCAGCGTACGGCTCATGGCTCCTTAAAACTAACAGGCGCCATCGTGCTCATAGGATAACCCAGCGTGCCAATAGCATCCTGTTAAAGTGACACAAATGAACAGAATTTTTTGCTTTAACACGTAAAAAAATTATTTGACGTGTTTTAAACATCAGTGTGACTGATGCAATATGCTAGCGTTACTAATGGTCTATTATTAGATGCTCGATCTCAATTTCTGACTGGATCGTCTAATAAAAGATGATTATTGCATCAAGGCTCCTCATATTCAAAAAGTTATTTTTTCATCTTTCGCAAGGTGACGAAACTGTACAGGAATTCCTCGCGTTACAAAGTTATTTTTTAGAAGCCTGTTGTTGTTTTACCGCTGAATATAGTAGTACCCCTTACTCGCTATGCAGGACGCTCAATTAACGGATGCCAAGTGCCAACATAGTCGCTCTAAAACTCTGGGCGCCAACCGTGTTTTGACGAAAAGTGTTCCCTACATGGCGCCGCCCATAAGAAACTTTAGGTTTCTTTTTCGCAGAAATATTCTCGGGAGTATTCTCATCTACTCCTTAAAGTTTCATGGCTCTCCGATGAACCGCATCCGAGTTTTATTTTTTATATACCGTGTATAGAGAAAAAATCGCTCACCCCGGGGGCACCGCCCTTGCAATATTAAAAAATATTTTTTTGCAGAACCCTACCATTGAGTGATCTAATCATCTCCCCAAAGTTTTATGGTACAGGGATGAACGGTGTGAAACCGAAATAGACTTTTATTTTTATAAACCGTATATAGAGAAAAAACAAATCGCGCCCTGCTGGGGCGCCACCCCTGCGAATTTGAAAATGTTTTTAGCGCAGAAACCTCCCCAGGAGTATTCTCAACATCTTCCCAAAGTTTCATGGCGATCGTGTGAACGGTGTCACGGCAATTCACTATTATTGTTTTTATATACGGTATATAGAGAAAAATCGCACCCTCCCGTGGCGCCACCCTTGTGAAGTTAAACATGATTTTTTTACAGAACCCTTCCTTAAAGTGTTCTAATGAACTCACCAAAGTTTGATAGCGATCACATAACTGGTGTCAAAATAAATAAAAAATCGAATTTTATTTTTATATACCGTATATAGAGAAAACAAATCGCGCCCTGCCGGGGCGCCACTCCTGCGAATTTGAAATATTTTTTTTCGCAGAAACTTCCCCAGGAATATTCACAACAACTTCCCAAAGTTTCACGGCGATGTGATAAGAGGTGAAGTAATGCATAAAGGACAAACAAACAGACAGACAGACAAACACACATACATTGCTTTTTATATATATAGATGTATGGCGTGTCATAGGAAGATTACATAGAGTTGAGTTTACCTGCGTTTATTATTTCTTCCAGACTTTTTCTCCGGCGGGGGTGGCACTTGACATTTTCGGGGGGGGGGGGGGGGGGGGGGTTGAGGCGGACACAGGTAGATGTATATGTATTAAATTCCATTTTGCTCGAGGGGGCGGTAGACTTTCTTCGGGGTGGGGGGGGGGGGGCGTAATACCAAACTTATCTCTTAGGTTGGTGTCTCCGGCTAAAGAGCCTCATCTGTCTGGGGGTCCGAACCACGCCCTCACCAACCATCCAGTCGTCGATGCACCGCAACATCTTAGCAATCGTGCATCCAACACTTTAACACCCCCCAACCTTGCACCGACACATCTTAGCAATCATGCATCCTACACTTTAACACCCCCTAACCATGCACCGACACATCTTAGCAATCATGCATCCTACACTTTAACACCCCCTAACCATGCACCGACACATCTTAGCAATCATGCATCCTACACTTTAACACCCCCTAACCATGCACCGACACATCTTAGCAATCATGCATCCTACACTTTAACACCCCCCAACCTTGCACCGACACATCTTAGCAACCAATAATCCAACCCTTCCCTCCCCCCCCCCCCCCAACTATTTAGACATCCACATCGTCGCAGCGCCATATCTTAGCAACCAATTCTATAACCATTCAGACATCCACATCTATGCACTGCCTTATCTAAGCAACCAGGCAAACAACCCTTTAACCCCACCCACCCCACCAACCATCAAGACACCGAAGATAACTTGACAGATAAATGTACAACACAACTCCAAGAAAATGTCTGTGTTCACCAACCACACATTTTGAAGCACAATGTGAACGTATGGCAGAATTTTGTAATAAAACGCAACTCCCATTCAAAAACATTTCATTTAATAAAACCCAGCGCATCATAAAATATGGGCCTAGCGGCAGAACGCTAGACTGTTAATCAGTTGTATGTAACATAAAGGTCTAACACATACTTTATTTAAATTTTGAATTCTAGGTCTCGAGTTCAAATAGGCCTACGGGCTCAAATCAGTAGAACGTCCCGAACCCACCTGCTCTGAAAAGTATTTAACATGTGCTAGGGAAAGTAAAGGCGGCTGGACATAGTGCTGAGCACACTATCCTCATATGCCGAGGTCAAAGAAACAGATGAAAACTAGACTTGCCTTTTGGACAGTCAGGTTCCAGAAGGGGACCTACTACGTATCTTAAAGGTCGGAGTTAGTTTCCCTAACGCAATTTTTAGTTGACAGTTTAAAGCTTGTTTAAAGAATCATACATTACATTTTTAATGGTGAAAAACAAACTATACGTTGGTTTTTTTCAACTATTTTTTTCGATACACTACAAATAATTTCGGTTGGGTTATTGGAAAGAAACGAAATACAATAACAAGATAAATAGTGGTATCAAAATAGTATCTACCGTTGTAAATTATATGGTTAACTGTTTAAAATACAAGACAAGACCACATTGGTAGCTGTAATCGGGTTTCAATAATATCACGTAGTTAGAGTAAGTAGGGTTTACTGTAAAATTTACTGTAATGTTCGGTGATTACCATCGCGTGTCGTGTCGAAGGCGACATCATTATCGATAGAGATTGATCGATTTTATAAGTGTGATCATACATTGTTAGGCTACGTCAACACCACAAACAAAAGACGGAAAATTGTGGCGTTTTTCTTGTCATTTGAAACGTGATCTAAAGATAAGATATTTTAAATGTACGAATACAGTTTTAAAAAATCCGATGTAGTTACTGTAGCTTGTTGCCCATTTATGTATAGTTTGTTAAATTTTGAAATAACGTAATGCATTTTGTATGACTAAGAAAAAGGTAAAACTGGTGAGGTCAACTATAATTACTTCTGCTGGCTATAGGGGCATGAGAGTAATGTGTGGGCAGTTAGTGGGTTGAAGGTGTGAGGGCTAAGTTGTGGGGTTGAAGTTGCGAGGGTTCAAGTTGCTAGAGTTGAAGTTTAAATCCCCTGTAAGCTACGTGGTCTAGTTGAAAGGTAGGATATTGAAACAAGTTGACTGGTAAGGTTTTGTATATCTAGCTTGTGAGTGTGTATGGGACGGCGTAGCCTAAGCTGTAGAGCGTTAGACTACTAACCCGAAATTCTTGAGTTCGAATCCTGAGTCCTTGTTAGCATGTATGTGTATTTACAGGTAGGCTTCATACAGGTTCTTAATCGGGTATGTATATGGGGGTTAGGTACTACTGTAAACATACTGGAGGGAGAAAGTACCTAGATGTTAAATGAATATAAAAAATAATTATTTGATTAGTAAGATACAGTTTTCAAGTCTTAAGTTTTTATAAGTGAATACCTCTGTTATTAGTTACGAGCCGACCCTCGGCGTATCATACGCCAATATTTAGTTGTTTTTTTTTCTACTTTTCAGTCATTCATAATGTGTGAATTCGACAGTATCAACGCTGCCACTGAAAATATTTGCTTTAAACCACTATCAGTAGGCCGTTAAGGACGATACCCCCCCCCCCCACCCTCCTTTCCCCCAACCCCAACCCCTACCCTAACCCCCCCCCCCCCCCCCCCCCACCCCAGTGAAAGCAGCCTCCTCTTAGTTACCTCTCCTAAGTTTAAAATAGTTTCAAACTAAATTATTTGCCCCTAATAGGCGTCACTAAACCTGGCTCTAGATTGTAAACATTTAGCGTGAACCACAGCTCACCAGACCATGTGGGGGTGGGGGTGGTTGCGATATGCCTAGAGAGGAAGAGAGGGGACTGCTAGGCGCGCTTACAACTTGTTTTCTAGCGTCTCCAAGAAGAGAATTATATATATAGATTATTTTTGTAGATTTTTAAAGAATCGTCCCAGTACTAGAAAATAAAATTATTCTTCACTAATGGCCTTTTAATTCGAACATATAAAGATTTACATTTTAACATAGGGAACATCAATTCATTTCTAATTTCCGAAACCACCAATCGGTGTTGTAAGTCTCTCTCACTTAAAATCCAAAATCTCGTTAGCCAGGGAGAGTTATAAATTTTCTAATTTTTTAACTCTATTCCCATTAATTTAAAAAAAAACATGGCGGCTATTTGTTTCTAGATCTAGGCCTCGCTTCAAGATTTTAAATAATGAGAGTATTCAAAATACAACAATAATAAAAACAGTGTTTACTAATAATAAAATCAAACTAGTAAGTAGTACCGATACACCTAGGTTATTAGTATTATAATAATATTGTAAATATGTTTAGGATAACTTGGTACGGATGCGAATAAATAATAAAAACCAATCGCTTCTTTAAAAATAATCACAATTTGATAACGTGGGGTATATTTTTCGTTAAGCTAGACTACATCGTGTAGTTTATTGCTATCATAGTTTACAAGTTTAAATAATTTAAATATACCGGAAATAATATTTGTTTTTTTTTACCGAATTGATAAAAATATTAATATTTTTTTCGAGATATACTAGCTGGCAAGTACGAGTAGTTGGTGACCTACTTACAAGCCCCAATTTACTCGTCCTCTTGGTAGATCAAAGATTACTCAACGTTTTCGTCAAAATCGTTGTTATGAAAAATCACTACACTTTTTTTATAACTTCCAAACCGAAATACCTCACTGTCACGTGGTTTTGTTTTTCCACAATCTAAATTTAATGTGTCGATGTGTAGCTATGCCCAATAGAAATTCTGATATGATTTTTGGGATGAGTTTTAAACTGAATTCAAAATTTAATTTTAATCAACAACTACATCGAAATTAAAATATTGGTCAGGCAATTAACTATAATATTAAGAGACAACAAATAACAATCCTATCTCATCAAATAATTAAATTCATTAAGTTTTTTGTTGTTGTTTTTTTCATTAGTTTATCTTCTATATTCTACCGCAATGTAAAACAAAAAGACTTGCTAACTTTAATAAAACAAGTGAAAACTAATCATTTAGTACATAGATGTGAATAATATTCTCATATTCTTATTAATTATTAAATACTTAAAAAAAACTATTTATATCGAGAAATCTGACTGGAGGGGGGGGGGGGGTTGGGGATAGAAAGATTTCAAGTTTTACGTAACCCTGCTCTAGTTAATTGACACGTCAACACCTTCTTCTATTATTTCAATTTTTTCTCACTTTAAAAATCTCATGTTCTAAAAGTGCAATGTGACCCCTTTCCAAGACGTTTCAATTATTTTAAAACGAAAAAAAATTGTTTAAAAAACCAATAGCTTACGCAATGAAACCGTTTAAAACTATTCATGTCTGATATCTTGACTTTAGCCTAATTGGTGTTAATTAAATCATCATCAGTTAATTCGACGATTCCCACGTTTCTTTGTTTGATAGGTTTAGGTGAACCATTAAAAGCTATTAATAACAACCAATCATCATCCGAATGGCAGTCACGTGATAAGATAACCTAATATTGTATTAAACCAGGTTTGTTTGATCAGAATGATCCATTAACCTTTCATCATTCTATTAGATCAACTCATGAAAGAAAGCGATACGATTGAAGAACAGATGATTACTTTTTCAATTACCCATGAATCGTAATAGTATCAAATGTACATATTACATTATTAGGGAAGTAGGCTTAAGTACGTCACCAAGTAGATATAAGTACGCCACTAAGTAGATATAAGTACAACACCAAGTAGATATAAGTACCCCACAGACAGACAAAGTCTGTTTCATGTCACATATTTCAATGTAAATAATTTATCTTATCTTCTTCCTCGTGTGCTAGAAATGTTCCCGTGTTTGAAATAATTGTCTCAGAGACTCGTAGGAAACAGATAATGTAGGAGTTTAAATATGGCTATCTCGCCTCTGGGGCGGGATCAAAGGGGTATGAAGGGGGGAAGTGTAGGTACTGCAAAGGTGTATGTACTACACATGTGTATGTACTACAAACGTGTATGCACTACAAATGTGTATGCACTACAAAGGTGTATGTACTACAAAGGTGTATGTACTACAAAGGTGTATGTACTGAAAGGTGTATGTAATGAAAGGTGTATATAGTATAAAAATGTATGTTCTATAAGGTGTAAGTACTAGAAAGCTGTATGTACTAAAATGTGTATATACGAGAAACGTGTATGTAGTATAAAAGTGTATAGTGCGGCGTGGCCTAGCGGTAGAGAGCTAGACTGCTATCCCGAGAGTCTCGAGTTCGAATCAGGTTCACATCAGTGGAACGTCCCTGAGTTCACCCAGCTGATGGCTGGGCATAGTGCTGACCACACTATCCCTGCATATGCCAGGGTATCTGAATCAGATGAACTCTGCTACATCTGCCCCATGTGCCTTCGGTACGAACAGGATTAAGAAGAAGAAGTATAAAAGTGTAAATACTATAAAAGTGTATATACTATAAACGTGTATATACTATAAAAGTGTATATACTATAAAAGTGTATATACTATAAAAGTGTATATACTATAAAAGTGTATATACTATAAAAGTGTTTATACTATAAAAGTGTATATACTATGAAGTCGTATGTACTAAGAACGTGTATATACATTAAAAGTGTATGTACTATCAGGTTGTATGTACTATGAAGGCGTATGTACTATAAAGGTGTATGTGCTTAAAAGTTGTACGTAATAGGGTGTTCTATGAACTAGAAAGTTGTATGTACTATAAATACTATAAGAAAAGACATGTTATCGACTTGATTGCGTCAAAACAAATTTGAACATTTTGCCGTTGTTGTTTTTTTTAGCTCAAAATATTTGACTTGGGTGATTTCATTTACTTTCAATTTTGTTTTCGAAAATATAGCCCTAGGTTAGGTCCTATCCATGTTATAATATTGATTGGAAATAATTTACTCCTAATCATTGCAACTTTTCTGATTTAAAATTATTAAAAGCTCAACTTCTTGTGACAAGAGAATTAGTTTTAAAGACAATTGCGATTTACGAATCTCTTCTGTTATGTTTCATTGGGTAAATTCCGGGTTGTTTTCCGTTCGATACAATAGACTTAACCAAGCTTTTTAGTTCTGAAATTGCCTGAGGGAATGCAGGCGTAACTATAAATATATGCTAGCGTTAGTTTAAATAGGGTAGAAATAATTAGATATTTTATATTAAACTCTGTAGCATAATGTAATATTAAATAGATTTGTTGTTTAATATAAAAGTTAGTATATAGTTTTATTTAAATGTGGTATTCCAATATAAAATTTAGTAGGCCTATATAGTTTATTTTAAATCTTGTGTTCTTATATTCTATTCCCAAAGACACAGCCCAACAATGAACTTCAGTATCGGCTTCAGCAACAAGACTTCCTTCAGCTTTCCTGGCTTCGCCTTTGCCATCAAGGTCCCAACTCTTGACAACTACCTGTACACTATCTTGATCACCGTAACAGTACAGACATGCAATTTAATTGTAGCCGTATTCGGAATCGGAGCGAATTCCGTAAACATCATCATCTTCGCTAAACAAGGTTTCCAGGAGCGGGTGAACATCAGTTTAATGGGGTTGGCAGTGTCGGATCTGCTGTCGCTTGTAGCGGTGGTGGCGCCGTCGGTGTTGGAATACACGGTCCGGCCGTTTTTTGAAGACTCGTTTCACTCGCAGAAGATTTATTACCTGACCACGACGACGATGCACCAAGTGTTTGTGAGGGTGACGAGCCTGATCACCGCGTTCATCACGCTAGAGAGGTGCCTCTGCATCACACTGCCCCTGCAGGTAAAGAACATCTTCACCAGGAAAAGCGTCACCTGCTTTATCATCTCCACTTACTTTATCGGAATCGCCAGCGTCGCGCCTATCTACTACACGACTTATCTAGAGTGGGTGTATTTTCAAGAATCAAACCATTCATACCTAACCTTAACCTTCACAAAAGACCGCGATATAGTCGATTATTATACTTTTATTTTCGGAAACCTATTGCTATCAATCTCGTCTTTGTTATTCGTCGCTACTAGCACTGCTTTTCTTATCAAAGGGCTACAAAATGCCGGGAAAATGCTAATCAACGAGAACTCGATTAATGACAAAAACAACGTCATATCGAGAAAGAAGCTGAGGATTATAAAAATGACAACGAGCATGGCGATAATTTTCATCATCACTTTCACACCCTCTATCGTCTTCAACGTTTGGACGTTGTCAGACGTGAATTTTAACATTGGCGGGATGAACCGGAAGTTGTATGAGGCGGCCTTCGCGTTTGCCTTCCTGCTGGAGTCTTTGAATTCCAGCGTCCTGATATTCTCCTACTACAACCTGAGCTCCAGGTACAAGGAGATTTTCTCCAGTTTTTTCAGCCTGATCTTTCACCTGGTGCATGAGTTGCACCACAAGCTACATGATGTGGGGCACCAGAGGTTATAAGGGGCACACTTCTACACTGCCAGGCGAAAATATTTTATGTTTACTTTTTATACACAAGATTTATACAATAAACTGAACGCACTATCACTAGTTCTGCCGGAAATGTTTTTGGTTTTTTTGCCAAATATCCCAGTTGAAACTTTTGAAAATAAATTAATACAACTTATAAAGGTTAACTTTCTACATTCACAGTTGCAAATATTTTGTGTTTACTTTACTTTTTACACTCGATTCATAACATAAACTGTACAAAACTATCACTAGAAGTTCTGCCGGAAATTTCTTTGCAAAATATCCCAGTTGAAAGTTGCATGCAGGCGTAAGAAAACTTGATTGTTTGAAAATAAATGAACACAACTTATAAAGTTTAACTTTCTACATTCACAAATATTTTGCAAATATTTTGTGTTTACGTTTTTTTTACACAAGACTGATAACATAAATGGTACAAAATATTTCGATACAAGTTCCACAGGAAATTTGTTTGCAGAATATCTTAGTTCAAAGTGGCAAACATAAGTAAAAACCTTGAAATTTTGAAATAAATTAACACCTTTTTCAAAAATTGGACCATAGAGAACTGAAGATTCTAGAAAAACGATAATTTTAATGTATTCAATTTAAAGTTTACTGTCTTACACCAGAACTCCCTGACTCCAAATAAAATGCTAAAATAAGAGAAGAAGAAAAGAATTCTTCGCTTCTAAATATTTTTTTAAAGCATAAAAATGTTCAAATGTGTTTTGATCAAACGCAGACATTTATCGTTTACTTCACCACATGCTTAAAAATAGCAACCATGAAAGTATGTTTAAATAATTCAAAACACTATAGCACACTGAACATGTTATTTCTATCTTCAATAAATTATTAGCAACAACATCTAAAACGTTCTCTATACTGCGCTGTGTAAAGTGGGTAATTACAAATCCATTAATATTGTTTATGAGAAAAACTGAATCTTTGTTTTGAGTGAAATCAGTTTAAAATAAATGTATTTCTGATGCATATTATACAAAAATATACATCAAACTATAGTATGTTAGCAAAAAAGTGTATAAATAGTTAATTTAGATATCGCTGAAATAAACGTTAAAACAAGCTCATCAAGAAGGCTTTTCACTTCTTTTTAACGAAGCTCGTCGTGCGTTCGACTTTGGGATTTATCAAATCCCACTTTTCGTACAGTGACAAAATGGTCTTAACTGTGGTTTGACTTGTTGCATGCAATCAGCAGACTCACCGTAACGGTTAATCCGGCTAATCTGCCAGTCACTGACCACAAGGCTATCAGACGGCACCAAGTGCTTGACCGTCGCCTCGTAGATGCCGTCGTTTGGCGAGGTCCTGAAGGTCACTTGGTAGAACTGGAATAAACTGGCGGGGTCAGGTCCAGGTTGGTTAGACGTACCACCGTGTGTGGTGTATTGAAGTATATTGAAAACTTCCGCTAATATCAGCAGCGGACACAATTTCCGAACACTTTTTGTCTGATTGTTTATGTGTGTAACAACCTCGATAGAAAACCGTGTTAATAAATCACGATTTGAAACGTCTCGAAAATCTACGCATGCGCAAAAATGGTGGTCAATTTGAACGCTAGCGCAAGTTCTTGTAATAGGGATCTCTCTAAACAAGCTGGTCCCCCTATTTTTGGAATGATCTTTTAGCGGACCATGTACATTTAACATTTGGTGGAATGTCTCATACACGTCAAACGGGGTGACTAGCTTATGTAAATTATTTTTGAAATTTAGAAATTGTTTAGGATATTTATCGTAGAATGAATGTGGGAATCTGAAAGAAAAATATGGCAGTCTTTCTTCTAACTTCCCTTGTGGGGTTCTTCTAACTTCTTCATAGCGTGTGCCATGGTCTGACATCAGGATCATGATGGTGTGGTCTAGTATTCCACTTGTGTTCAGGTACTTTAAAAAATTCAGCAGGTCTTCGTCCATCTGAAATTAATTCATATACGTGGGAGAAAGGTAAAATCCATGTTGTCGACATTAAACTATTTATTTTAACAGATAATGTCCACGATTTGTTAAACGTGTTTTAAAACAGAATGTAATTCATGTTGTAAAATCCACGCTTACTGCATTGGTGTCTTCATACTATATGAAAATGTTTTAATGAATACTGTAAAACCAAAGTTGGAATCACTCAAGGTATACCACCAGCCTGTTGTGGGTGGGGTGGGGGGAAGGGGTTTGGATGTCATTCAGGTACCAAATCCTGTTCTAGCACCTAATCCCAAATATAGAAACGGCATGAGAAAACTGAAACGATAAAACCCACATCATTTGAAGCCCTACCTTCTTCATTTCATTATTGTTTTTATGACTGAACTCAGAATGGAACCCAAACACAAACTTTGGTTTCCTCCCGTACATCTTGAAAACATCCTTAAACCAGTTCAGGAACCGGATGTGAAGTGGCTCCGACCCAACACAGTACGGCAGAAAATGTTTGTACATCGACTCTGCTGCTATGAAGTACGGTCGCATCGAGTGGTCAGTTGGGGTAGAGTTAAATCCTACCAGCCGCATCTGGAAAGAAAGAAGAAGATTGTAGTACAAAATACTTTCAAGATAGTTTTAAGCAAAATGTAATTTCGATACGAAATTATTTTAATTACAGTCAAGTCGTTAACCTCATCATCTATATCTTTCTGAGCACATGACAAATGGGACATATGAAATAGAGTTTATCTTTTTAATGACCTCGGTATATGTAGAGATAGTTTGGTCACAACTCTGCCTAGCCGCACTAGATTTCTTTTACATGAGTCAGGCACCCATCAGAGCTGGGTGGGCTTAGGGGCGTTCTACGGACTCGAGTCGGAGATACGAACAAGAGACTTACGGGTTAGCTATCGTGTGCTTTACCATCCGACCTGCGCCGTTTGTATAGTTTATGGACTATGCAAATAAAACGAATGTATAGCCGGTTTGACTTTTTATCCACAGTTCTCTATTTTTCCGACTTTGGGTTACCAATTTCAAAGATATTGTCTGATTGCAGTGTCAAACATTCGGGGCATTTACTTCCAGATTTTCTGGGGCAGAATTTCCTAGTGCCTTTAGTGTTGAAAGGTAACAGACAGAATGTTTCCTGTAATGTCATCACAAACTGTTGGTGTTGAACACATCCTCGTAAAAGCAATAAAACATAATAACACAAACATTTGGATCCGCACGTGTTGCCAAACAGAAACAACATACACATTTGAACACATCTCCTTGTTGTTAATCAGAAACAACATACACATTTGGACACATCTCCTTGTTGCTAATCAGAAACAACATACACATTTGGACCCATCTCCTTGTTGCTAATCAGAAACAACATACACATTTGGACCCATCTCCTTGTTGCTAATCAGAAACAACATACACATTTGGATACATCTCCTTGTTGCTAATCAGAAACAACATACACATTTGGACACATCTCCTTGTTGCTAATTAGAAACAACATACACATTTGGACCCATCTCCGTGTGCCCAACCAGAAACCATAAATTGTTTCTTATGGACACACCTGGAAGGTGCCAAGAAAAGCCATGTCCTCTCCCCAGGCCGTGACGTATCCAGCAGACTTGAAACTCTTCCAGATAAAAGGGAAGTCATCCACATGGCTGGCATAGGGGTCGTCCCATCTGGCAGAGTACAGGTCCTTTAGGGACTGGCCCGTCAACAGGGGCAGGAGATTCTGTTTGAAAATAAAGTAGGTGTCAAATTGAAAACTGCAATAGCTTAAGCAGGTGATGTCTATACACTAATGTTTGTTGTTTCAGAAAGAAAAAGTTCATTAATTGTTTTTTCTCAAAATGAGACTAACATTGATGGTTGCGTCGCCGACGATGTTGTAGCCTGTCAGCTCCATCCCCTCCAGATCTCTGGTGTAGAACTCTCTGGATTTGGGCAGATTTCTCAGCCAGGCCATTCTAGACATGGAGTCAAAACCTGCGGAGTCAAGGAGTCAGTTCTATTAGAAAGTCCTGCGGAGTCAAGGAGTCAGTCCTATTAACATAAAATGGGGGGGGGGGAGTCGAGTTAGCCTGGTGTTGTCTGAGATACAACTGTATACGTCTGACAGTAAAATGTTAAGAAGGTACACATTTCAGCTGTTGCAAGCGACTTGTTGGGGAAATCTTCAGGCAAAGAATATGAGTAAAATCTTTAAACTACATTGTGTTGTTTATATTAAAATGTGTAACTTAATTAATTTAAAATTATTTTATAACACAACCGACATACACTTTGATCAGTAAATTAAATGTTTGAACAGACCTACTGTAAGCTTACCAAACATAAGCACATCATGACCCAGTGTTTCGACCCCTGAGTCTGTACAACTTACCAAACATGAACACGTCATAGCCCATGGTTACGACCCCTGGGTCAGCACGACGGAACCTGGAGTGGAGCGATTCCTTGTAAGCCACGCCCACATGGATGTTATGATAGCGGTGGTTGGATACAGATTTACAACCTACCTGGATAATCAGTTTTTTTTTTCAAACGAGGAAGTTTTTAAAATGCCATTATACTGATAGGGGGGGGGGGGCATTCTATACCTCAATAACTAAAAGTAAACTTTGATAAATGTATCAATATTTACAAAACATAACGTTTTCAATTAAAGGTGAGCTGTAATCTATGTTTATTTTTTTTTTAGAAAGCAGTAATGATAAAACAAAAACTTGATTTTTTTGTTAAAGATTTGAAAACGCTTTGTACTCCAACTTTTTAATGAAAATAGTAACAGCAAACTATGCTCAATACTTTATATGTACAATGATCCGCTTAGAACTTATAAGCAACTGACCTGTTTTCATAAAGAAATAAACTCCAGAACGAGAGTAAAAGGAATGCAACACAAACTCTACCTTAAAGAAATCTGACGTGATCGGAGAGCCGTCTTTGATGTCTTCTATCAGCTCGCCCTCCATGACGTCAAAGTCTGTCTCACCTCTCTCCACAGACACGTAATCACAGGTGATGTCGCCATACCTGGCCAGAGATTTCCTGGAAATTCTGAAAGTTCCGTTGTCTACATAGACCCAGTTGTCATCGGCCTTGGAGCAGTTGACAGGATGGACACTGTGGTCAGGTTTGTTAAGAAATTAACAGTGATAAGTATTGGTATGACTACACTCATTAAATAGTAATGATTCTTCTTTACACCTAGCGATCCATTGGGTACATGAAGTTGAATTCATATGTTTCTTGATCTCGATTGAATTGTGTGGTCAGCTTTTTGCCCTGCCTCCTTGACTTTCCTTTACATACGTTGGGTGGACTTATGAACGTCCTACAATCACAGGTTCAAACTCTAAACCTTCAGGCTAGATGCCAAACGCTTGACCACTCGACCACGCCTTCCCATGACTAAATGTATTATTATAGTACTATATATTCTCCATCCATACATATCTTGGCATTAGGCACCTCAAGCTTTATTTTTTAGTCCATCAACTCTAAAAAGCTATAAAAATAATTTTAACTGTCATAGCATACGGCTTCGGATATTTGGTAATTACAACTGGGTACCAAGAAAGATGACTTTTAAACACACAATAGTTCAAGAAATGTAATTATAGACACAGACAGGTTAAACTATAAAGTTAAAAAAGCAAGGAGTAGAAAGAGTGGTGATGTGTACTGCATGCTGTGTGTGAACACACCCTTACTAATGGGTTGTATGACATTTTCGAGGCCGGGTGTGTTGACGTGTATGTTGTTGTACGAGGGTAACAAGGGAAGCGACTGGTCGAGTGACAGCAAGTGTCTGAGGGAGGTGTGTAACAGTTGATGTGTGTAGCAGTTGACGTTTTGCACTGAGAACTGGAAAATAGTTGACATTTGACCCTTATGATTTACCTATACCTTCACGTGTGTCTGATAATCATGTATGCAATACGCCCTCACATGAAGGTAAGTTAAATAAAAAGTAAATTTCCTCTATCAGACTTATGATCCACAGGGCAGATTAAGTAGAGTTCATTATTACGTTTCTTCAATTCGCCAAATGTAGGGATAGTGTGGCCAGAGCTATGCCCAGCAATCTTTACTTTACCTAGAGTAAGTCAGATACGTCTGAAAGCCTCAACTCGAGCTCTATCACATCACCTCGACGTACCATACAAAAGTCAATGGTTATTTATTTGAAAAATTATCACTACAAAATTTATAAACTAAAATCACTGACCACTTACAAGTAATCGAAGGGTAGAACTTGTGGATCACATGGATCCAGCTGTGGATGTTGACACACCTGTCCATCCATTGTCTTCCTGGATGAGTTCATCTCAGTCAACCTGTCGTAGCTCTCTGTAACCTGGCCACCTTGTGACCTTAAATAGATACGTATTTTTAATCCTGATGTAAGAACTCAATGAAATCAATTTAAAGCAATTCTTTTTACAAAATAAGAACTTTGTTACTCGAATACTATTTTTGGACCCGTTTTAAACATTTCAAAACCCATCTGTCTCCAAACCTAGAAAATTCCCTAGATCATAGGGGGCGATAATGCTGGAGATAGTACAGTCTATTTAAATGGGTCTAAAATAAATTCTCAAAAGACTCTTGCCCGAATGCCAATTGCCAAAAACCATTTTCCAGAATAGAAACTTGCCCGAATGCAACAAACGACCCAATGGACACTTGCCCAAATGGGACAAATTCCGAATTGCCACAAGCCGAATGGCCGTTTGCCCGAAGAAAATATTAATATTATATATTATTACCAAGTAGACATTTTTAATAAATTAGAATTTGACATTTTGGTAATCAACTCATAAGTTCTGCATCCTGACAAGCAATAAATAAAGTGTACGAGCTGACCCGCGACGTAGCACGCTATTTACTTATTTTATTTCCTATGTTTCAGTAATTCATAATATGTGAATTAGGGGTCATCCATAAATGACGTCACTCTTTTTTGGACGATTTTTACCTCCCCTCCTCCCCTCCGTCACACGTCGTCACAAAAAGTCAGACCCCCCCCCCTAAAATGACGTCACACATCAGCCTACAACCCCCCCCCTCAAAATTGCAGTTGATTTTTTTTTAAAAACATCGATATTTTTCCAAAATCTTGTCTGAAATATGTCAAAATATAGTATTTTAATCAATTCCTATTATAATTTATTAAAACTGTTTTCTAAAAAGCTAAATAATGTCTAAAATTCGTTTTCTAACATTTCTTATCTATAAAGCAAAAGTGTGACGTTGCACCATCTGAACCCCCCCCCTCCCCCTCATCACACATCGTCACAAAATTACCGACCCCCCCTCCCCCCTACGATTGTGATGTCATTTATGGATGACCCCTTAGACACTACCAATGCTGCGACTGAAAATATTTTGCTTTAAAACACTATCAGTACCTAGTGAAGGACGATTATCCTCACCATCACCTACACCCCCCCCCCCCCCCCCTGCCCCTTGAAAGCAGCCGTCCGTGACGACAGTTTAAAGACGACAATGAAAATATCAAGCAGAACTTGTTATTACCTCCCCTTAGTAACAAATCGTTTAAAAACTAAATTATCTGCCCCTAATAGCCGTCACTAATTCGACCAGGCTCGACGATTGTAAACAGCTCACCAGACTGGTGCGGGGGAGTGGTAGCGATATGGTCTGTTGACCTTACGTGGTGGTGGTGTCCCGCATTATAAATATAGATACAGTTCTTTGTCCGCGTATGGTTCGACTTCTTGAAGTTTCAATCAATAAATCTTTCTGATTCATTATTGTAATACACACAACTATAAGCATTATAAAAAATATAAATATATGATATTTACAGAAGCAAGGAGTGGGGAGTTGTAAGACTTTGTGTTTTCCAATAGAGATGTATTAGGGAATTTCTGGGGGAGACGTATTTATAATTTTTTTTTTATTCTTTGTCTGTTTTACGGGCATTAATATACGACAAAATACCTCACCACTCTATGAACCAACAAGAAAACGGCACCGTGTCTGACAAAACGTTAAATATCTCTGATCTCAGTGCCTAGATAACCCCTCTCCTTCCTATTTAAGACTCCCCCTTTCTTGACCCCCATTCCCAAGAAACAGTACCTCCTCTGACAGAACGTTAAAGGTCCCAGAACTCTTGTATCATCACCAAACTTCTGGTACTCTGTGGCGTGGTCTTCAACTAAAACTTGGATCACGTGATTGGCCGACACCATCACCACTAGCACCACCAGCATCTGTATCCGGTATTTCTTGAACTTTCTCGAACAGATCTTCATGTTACAACTCCTTCAGACGTTGTCGTAATGAGGACTCACGTTAAAAAAAAGTCTGAACCTTGTTATTAAAACACCGGCACATTTACTATAGCCATGTTAAACTTGACTTCCGTGGTGTATTTTGTTCTGGTCTTTAGATCTACAGCCAGACATTTAAGCTAAGACCAATGTAAATCTAAGTAAAAAATCCTACTGTTTACGCCATATTAAAATGTAATTTTTTAATTAATATATGTACATCAACTCACGGTACTATAAATAAGTTGTAAGTAAAATGTCAAACCATGTCAAACAATTACGATTTAGAAGGATTTATTTTCCTGATTAAAGTAATACGGATAGTTCGATTATCACTAGAACTATGTGCAAAATTATTTTGATATTTTAGTGTGAAAGATTTCGTAATGATCATTGTTTTAAAATGGTGTGCAAAATATTGTTTCTAGTTCTTTGAAGATAAATCTGTACAACTTCAAAACCAATTCGCTAAATTTGTTTTTCTCCATCGGCGACGGTTATTTCCGTTAAACTTAAAGCTGTTCGAAACTATTTAAGGCCAATCATTCATTCTTCAATTCGTTAAAACGCAAATCTTTAATATTGATTACTTCAAATCTTTATTTCAGCTATATGTTTTAACCTAGATCTATTAAGTAAAAAATATTGATCAGTTGCGTTGTTGCGTTAGATTGTAAAGTAAACATTGAGGTTTTTTTAATGTTAGCAATATGAGAAAATGTATATTTTACACTTCCTGTTCAGGTATTCTAAATGGCACTTGATAGTTTTTCTACAACGATGTACCCATATATTTGCCTGTACTCCTTATCTTCTGTTTCAAAATACCCAACATCTTTCGTTAGCAACCCATTTTCGAGTGCTTCCTTTAACAAACATTTAAATTTTCAAATAAAAAATAGTCGCAATTTATTTTACTGGAACACGTTTATTGTATATAAATATAAATGTTGTATGATATATATATATATATATATATATATATATATATATATATATATATATATATATATATATATATATATATATATATATATATATATACATATATATATATATACACACACACATATATAAATATATATATATATATATATATATATATATATATATATATATATATATATATATATATATATATATATATATATATATATATATATATATATATATATTATAAACTTCACATCAAATGTATGTAACAATATATAATCAATGAAAATAAATGTATACTACTTTCCAACTAAAAAACCATCGACATTTTAATTTTAAAGAATGTCTCAAATACGTCTAGACACAATCACACTGACAAAAACTACACAATTTATTCTATATATTCTCAACACATTGTCATGTATTCTATGTATTCTATAACACTAATTTGTCCTTCCTTCACCAGTTTGAAAATGTCCCACTCTCATTTCATCTTTTCACTACAACTATTTTGTTTTTTTTTACCTGTCTGCAGCAAAACGCATGGTAAAATGTGAAAAAATCCTCTAATTTTTATTACAGTATCATGTATTCCCATTATTCTTACAGAAACAAAATTGTCTTAAAAATGGAAACGTTTGTTCTATGCAAGCCGCGGCATCACCGTAACGGTTAATCCGGCTAATCTGCCAGTCACTGACCACAAGAGTATCAGACGGCACCAAGTGCTTGACCGTCGCCTCGTAGACGCCGTCGTTTGGCGAGGTTCTGAAGGTCACTTGGTAAAACTGGAATAAACTGGCGGGGTCAGGTTCATGTTGGTTAGACGTACCACCGTGTGTGGTGTACTTAAATATGTTGATGACTTCAGCTAAACTGAGAATAGAGCACAGATTACGGACTTTATTAGTCTGGTTATTGATGTAAGCGACGACCTCATTGGATAGACGGTTTAGCATAGACTCGTTCTTGACTTCTTTAAGGTTCGCGCATGAGCAGAAGTGTGGCTTGACCTCAACGTCAGCGCACGTTCTCGTTTTGGGGATCACTCTAAACAAGCTGGTCCCCCTGTTTTTGGAATGATCCACTGGTGGACCACGAACGTTTAACATGTGGTGGAATGTCTCATACACGTCAAAAGGGGTGACCAGCCTAGGTCTGTTATTTTTAAAATTTAGAAATTCTTCAGGAAATGATTTTTTGAACGACGGTGGGAACCGGAATGAAAAATATGGCAGTCGTTCCTCAAGCTTCCCTTGTGGAGTTCCTCTAATCTGGTCGATTCTTGCCCCGTGGTCAGACATAAGGATCAGGATTGTGTGGTCAAGGTAACCGCTGGTGTTGAGGTACTTTAGATAAGTCAGTAGATCATCGTCCATCTAAATGCAAACAAAATGAGCAGGCGGAACTTACGTGGATTGTAATGAGAATTTTAAAAAATGATACATCTACTATGAGAATGAGAACGAAATAACGATGAGATTTAAAATGTGAAGAATGAAAAGGAAAATAAGATATGAACTATGATTTCTCGAGTTCATTGTAATCAAGGAAAGTAAAGCCAGCTGCGCATATGTGGTCAATAAAACGTATGAGCTCTACTCCATATGTTTTATGAATCATCGGATATGTTACATTTACCATACACGTATACGACTACTTAAGAGTTTTTTTTTTTTTATAAAATGTGACAGTTATTAATAAAAGCAAATCGCCTTTCAAGGGCAGGGATTAACTGGTTGTGACCAAAAGGGGTGGAGAAATTAAAAAGGAGCCCCCAACCCCAGATCGAAATTTTAATTGTGCGTTTTTTCTCCTTTAAACCTTGAATTTTACGTATGGGCATGAAGGAATGGTAAAATAGTAACAATTAAAAACGAACAAAAAAACTCATAGAATTATTACAGCATCGTTATGGGGGCCTACAAAGATGTATTTCCTGGGGGCCCATTGGGATTTTTCCCGGCAGACCGGCGGGCCAGTCCACCTCTGTTGAAGGTCCCCATACCTTGATATTCTACTTACTTGAATCAACTAGAAACTTCTTCAAAATTTAGTTTGTGTACTACAAACTAATATTACTATGTAGTAATATCAACTCACTCTATTATCCTTAAATTTAAGCTAGCCTACATTTAGCTTTAACTCTAAACTCGTATAGCTATGTTACTACCCTCTACCAAAGACCACCTGATATAGAATCTTGAGTCCGAGAGTGATGTGTAATGTTAACATCAATACCTTCTTCATCTGGTTGTTATTGTCGTGGCTGAACTCCGCATGGAACCCAAACACAAACTTTGGTTTCCTTCCGTACATCTTGAACACATCCTTGAACCAGTTCAGGAACCGGATGTGACGTGGCTCTGACCCAACACAGTACGGCAGAAAATTTGCATACATTGATTCCGCAGCGACGTAGTAGGGTCGCATCGAGTGGTCAGTTGGGGTGGAGTTGAATCCCACCAGTCGCATCTGAAGGGTAGGAAAACAAAACAGATGGCCAATATTCAACAGTTAATCAGCATTGATAGTTTGACAAAACGTATTATATTTATCAACATGTATGATGAGCAGAGTTTCTTCCAGGCATCTCTTCGGGGGGGGGGGGGGGTACTAAGCCCCCCCGAAAAAATTTTACCGCCCCCCCCCCCCCCCCGAACGGAATGAAATTTATATAATTTATATAGAAAATATATACTTTTAAGGGGATATGCTATGTTTTTTTCTATTTTTTACAGTTTAAGATCTAAAGCCTTTTGAATACTTTTATCATATTTGGCATATAAAAGTAAATATTAAACAGCAAAAAAAAGGGTCGAAAACAATTTTGGTTGTCATGGAAACCCAAAAAACCTCCGCCATTTTGAATTTTTCGGTACTTTTAAAAATACTAAGGCTTTTTTATTTATGCACCTGTAGCAATCAAATTTAAACTGCTTATATTTCAGTATATATTAAAACTTTTGTCACGACAACTTTTAGAAATAATTACTAGTAAGAATTTTACAAGGTCTAAAAAATCGTACCCTTTTTAGTATTCAAAAGTTTCAAAATGTGCATATTAATTACCAAATACTTTTTTTCTATGAAAGCAATCACAATTCCCTCGTGACAAAAGTTGTATTTTTGCATCAAGAACAGTTACTGAAAATATGGTTGGCATTGTTTAATAAATAAAAAAGTAGTAGGCTTTTTAGTGTTAAAAACCTGCGAGCTGAGAAAAACAGCCAAAAGTAATGAAAAGTAGGTCAGGAAAGTACCATATCTGTGTAAACTGCAAAGCCGATTGTAAGCTTTGGGTGTTTCCGAGATGTAGGAAATTAAGTTTATTAAATACATGAGAAATGCAGCTTTCCAATTATGTCAAATACAATATAATGACAGATATAAAACTTTTCATAGAGAGCTTGTTAGATTGGGGAAAATTGATTATTTTTTAATTAATAGGGACATAAAAATCGAAATTCAAACACATAAAATATTTTTTTCTCTTTAAAGTTATTATTTTCTTTATACAAAAATGGACAAAGTATCCAAAAGTGCAAGAAACCCATCATGACGAAAAACAAGAAATTTTGTGATTTTTTCCGCGCATATCCCCTTAACAGTGTCCGCCCCCCCCCCCCCCCGAAGAAAATAGTCTGGAAGAAACACTGATGATGAGTCCAAAATGTCAAATAATTAGTGGAGCTGATATGTATGTACTTTTTGGAAAATGTACAAGTAATAGCAATGTTCATTTTCGCCAAGAAAATAGAAATGGGGAAAACTACGACAGCATTGATATGCCGTATTGTTCAATTTGACAATTTTGTTGTTGCATTTTTAAGAGCAGTTTCTGAAGCCATAATATCTACTCCCAGGGCGTTTGGTGTTTTTGTATGTAATTCTTTCTCTCAAATTGACAACATTATATCGACCTTCGCTAAGTACAAATTATCTTTTTTCCCCATCACAACTATTCAAAATTGAAAAACAAATGAAAACTGACAAACTTAAAAATCTTTAAAATATAGACAGTGTACCAAACTTTAATATGGCCATAAAGTTTGTAAGGTATGGAACATGAAAAGACCCTTTTTTAAAAGTGGACCAATGTTTGTAATATCAAAAAATATCTCTCTTTGATGTTTCCCTTTCATTTTAAATGGCTTTGTGTAAAGTTATTAATAAACATATCCACTACTCGACTTCTGAAAAGGTGATATGCATTGTCGTTCTTGTATCTTGTTGATTATTCTAAAAAAACAGTTCAAGGCTGGATCGATCCTAACCTGGAAGGTGCCACCATAAGCCTTATCCTCGCCCCAGGCCGTGACGTATCCAGCAGACTTGAAGCTCTTCCAGATAAAAGGGAAGTCATCCACATGGCTGGCATAGGGGTCGTCCCACCTGGCAGAGTACAGGTCCTTTAGAGACTGGCCCGTCAACAGGGGCAGGAGGTTCTGTCGATAGAAATTCTCGGATTCAAACTCAAGTCGTTTAACTCAACTATTTGCTGGCAGACCGGCAAGCTATGTCGTAGGCCAATGTCGGTTTTTTTTTAATTTTTAAATTATGCTCATAGTGTTTAATTTTCTCCCCGTAGCCTTCGTTTAATTAGAGTCAAATTGTCGTTAAGTGTAAGAGACTAGTCATTGTTTTAACAAGGATTGACGGAACAATATTATAAACACTACAGTTGCATATTTTTTGATACAATATCCCTGAATTGATAAAAACAAAAGTACATTGTAAAAAAATATATTTTACTGCTGATAGTTCTAGCTCTATTGAGGGTTGTGATTGTAAGAGTGCTTTTTTAATAAATACCACATTTAAAAAATATGTATATCTAATATATCATTCAGCTAATAGCTTATATTGCAAATAGAATAGCAGGTTTGTTAAATAGTGATTTACTAAGTAACTAATATATAACTTCTCAATTTTAATTTTATTTATTCTAATTAATACCATTTTAATTTGGTAAAAAAAGTTAAGTAAAGATCCGTTTTAGTCCTAGCGAGAGTTAATATGTTACTTGACCTCGACATATGAAGGGATAATGTGGTCTGAACTTTGCTCAGCCGCCTTTACTTTCCCTTTTGATTGAGTACCCACTAGAGCTGGATGACTCAGGGAAGTTCTACTAACTTGGATCCTGATTCGAACTCGAGACTTTCGTGATACCAGCCTAGCGCTCTACCGCTTAGACCACGCCGTCTCATTATTTAATCATGGAGCAAGGACTAACGTTAACTGTAGCGTCCCCGACAATGTTGTAGCCTGTCAGCTCCATCCCCTTCAGATCTCTGGTGTAGAACTCTCTGGATTTGGGCAGATTTCTCAGCCAGGCCATTCTAGACATGGAGTCGAAACCTGCAGAGTCAAGGAATCAGTGCTATCAACAAAACCTGTGGAGTCAAGGAGTCAGTTCTATTAGCGAAATCTGGGGCGTCAAGAAGTCAGTTCTATATAAACACATGCAAAAATGTCAATAGGCAGCTATAGTTTCTTATTTGATTCAATCAAACTATATTAAGGCTTTTATCGTCCTAATATTAGTATGTCGAACTACACTTGATGAGATTGAAGAAGATGTGTAGATCGATTTAATATGTGAAAGTTAAACGAGGGTCTACCCAACTTACCAAACATGAACACGCCATAGCCCATAGTTTCGACCTCTGAGTCAGTATAACTTACCAAATATGAACACGTCATAGCCCATTGTTTTGACCCCTGAGTCAGTATAACTTACCAAACATGAACACGTCATAGCCCATTGTTTTGACACCTGAGTCAGTATAACTTACCAAACATGAACACGTCATAGCCCATAATTTCGACCCCTGAGTCATTACAACTTACCAAATATGAACACGTCATAGCCCATTGTTTTGACACCTGAGTCAGTATAACTTACCAAACATGAACACGTCATAGCCCATTGTTTCGACCCCTGGGTCAGCACGACGGAACCTGGAGTGGAGCGATTCCTTGTAAGCCACGCCCACATGGATGTTACGATAGCGGTGTTTGGATACAGATTTACAGGCTACCTAGAGAAATACATTTGTAAATCGAGTGTAGTAAATGGGGGTCAATTGGTTGATGGTGTATATTTGTTAGTGAAAGGGATAAATGTGTTCATGTGTACTTGACCACCCGTGGGTTGCCTTTCTTGGATTTATTGACTTTAGACAGCTGTTGTCGTTCGTAAGTTTTCGAAATAGTAGCAGCGAAATGGTCTTGAAACAAGCTGCTCCTAGTCTTACTTAAGTGATTGCTAGTAAGTAGCTAGATTTTTTTTTGTATTTACGTAGAGTAATATGTAGTTTATTATGCCTTAGTGTATCACGACATGTTCAGTGGCGTAGCGAGGTCGGGTGTCACCCGGTGCGGCACGCAATGGTGTCACTCCCCAGAGGCGTAGCGACCCTTCCACGGGGACAAACTTTCAAATTTTCGATTTGCACCCCCATTTTTCTCCATATATTTTGCTATTTTTTGCCTTGGTGTCACCCCCCTAAATGGTGTCACCCGGTGCGGTGGTTAAATATAAAACATTTTCTTTTAAATTATAATAATAAGTTTTTAAATACTCGGATTTAATTAATAATCCTTAACTTTATTTATCAATGATACATTTAATATCTAATTTGATAGCAACTTAGATATTCTTGCGTTGTCTTCAGAGTCAATTATATCAGAATCTGATAAATTTTAATCAAAAACGAAATAGCTGTACAAAAAGTGGGTCGAGAAGATAAACTTATTAAACCTGTGTCATACCATTACCTTAAAGAAATCTGACGTGATCGGAGAGCCGTCTTTGATGTCTTCTATCAGCTCGCCCTCCATCACGTCAAAGTCTGTCTCACCTCTCTCCACAGACACGTAATCACAGGTGATGTCGCCATACCTGGCCAGAGCTTTCCTGGAAATTCTGAAAGTTCCGTTGTCTACATACACCCAGTTGTCATCGGCCTTGGAACAGTTGACAGGATGGACGCTGTGGTAAGTACAAAGTAATCGAGAAATTTTTAAAATATAGCAGTTTTTAAAATAAACTAGACCAGAGGCGTAGCGAGGGGGGGGGGGGGGTGCGGACCGCACCGGGTGACACCATTTAGGTGGGGTGACACCAAGGCAAAAAATAGCAAAATATATAGAGAAAAACTTGAGGGGGGTGCAAATCGAAAGTTTGAGTGGGGGGGGGGGGTGTAAATCGAAAGTTTGAGGGGGGGGAGGTGCAAATCGAAAATTTGTCCCAGGGAAGGGTCGCTACGCCTCTGGGGGGTGACACCCGACCTCGCTACGCCACTGAACTAGACTACAGCATTCGTCTGATCCACAATGTAACCACATTATTAAATATATGGAACTAGGCGGCGTTCGATAAAAACATTCAGTCAGATAGAATCGTGATGTGACTATCATTGTTTTGAAGGTACCTTTTTTACAAATACTGTAAAACTGTCATAAGTTACGTTAAAGAAATAATTCACTCTAAATCTGGACAAAACTAACGAATTTTAAGTAATAACTTAAGCCCTGCAAACTGGGGAAAATGTGTGATAGATTTTAACAAATGAATAAAAAAACCTGTAAAACTGATCAAACAATTGAGTTTGACTTTAAAAAATCAACCACCCACTGACCACTTACAAGTAATCGAAGGGTAGAACTTGTGGATCACATGGATCCAGCTGTGGATGTTGACACACCTGTCCATCCATTGTCTTCCTGGATGAGTTCATCTCAGTCAACCTGTCGTAGCTCGCTGTAGCCTGGCCACCTTGTAACCTTAATATATAGTCCACACGGAGATTAATGAAGAAACTCGTACACTATTTGTACACTATTCTAAAAAAAAATGACCTTCCCGCCCCTGACTCTATATGACCCGGCACAGTGAAACGTTACCTCCTCTAATAGACCCCCCCCCCCCCAGTCCAAAACACCCCCCCCCCCCTCAAGAAAAAACGTTACCTCTTATAAAAAACCACTTCCACAGAAAAACATTAACTTATCTGACCCCCACACCCCTAACACCATGTGCCCCCCCCCCCCCCACAACACAGAAAAAGGTTAACTCTTCTGACAGAGCCCTCCCACTATGTCCCCCCCCCCATCCCTAACATCATGTGCAAACCCCCCCCCCCCCCACACACACAGAAAAACATTCCCCTTCCCCTATTAGAAAGGATTACCTCATTTGACAGACCCCACCACTATATGACCCCCAATAAGAATATATTAACTCCATTGACAGGGCCCTCTCACAATCTGACTATGTAACACACACCCCACCCCCCAATTAGAAAACATTACCTCCTCTGACAGACCCCCTCTCCACTATGTGACGCCCCCCCCCCCCCCCTTCAACAGAAAAACATTACCTCCTCTGACAGAAGGTTAAAGGCTCCTGTACCCTGGTATCAGCCCCAGCCATCTGGTACTGTGTGGCGTGGTCCTCCACCAACAGGTGGATGTAGTGGTTGACCAGGGCAAGCACCCCCACAAGTCCTAGCACCTTCGTTCTGTAGCTCTTCAATATCTTTACACTGACTCTCATTACAGCGACTCTCATTACAGCGCTTGTACCAGCACCCCCACAAGTCCTAGCACCTTCGTTCTGTAGCTCTTCAATATCTTTACACTGACTCTCATTACAGTGCCTCTATAATGTACCCCTGCTTGAGTGTATAGCCACACCCAGCTTCTATTACATACGCTCTATATTTCACATGTGAGACCAGGTCTTAAAAAGGAAATAAATAGTTGGTCGATAGTACACTGTCTGACTAACTTCGTCTTATGTTATGATTTTAGGAAAGAATATTATTTTTTGTTTAAATAAAATAAAATGAACACTATTTTTGTCTTAAAGAAACTTTAAAATGTGTTTCAAGAAAGATGTATAATTATAGATCTAGATCAAGTCTAGATCTGTATTATAAAATTTTAAATAAAAAAGTATTCGAATATCGAGAAAAGCTAATTAGATCTACAGTGTATTAAGCTTTAGAATATTTAAAGGTATATACAACATAGTTTTATTTAAATCACATGGGCTTTTATTTTAAGTAGTAATATTAAATACTTACTTTTAGATATCGTAAATGACAGAACAAGGAAAAGTATATCATTATTGCTGACCACTTTTGTCAATTTCATTTTTTTTTTTTAAGAACATGGCTTTTCCCAATTTCAAAAGGTGCGTTTATTTTTAGTGTGCATTCCGGTATTTGTGACAGTGTGAGAAGGGATGCAAGTCAACTTATTCATTTTTAAAAAGGGTGTTCTAATTTTATTTATTTTAATCTGAGGTTTTTATTTGTTTTTAATTTTAACAATTGTTTTGTAAAGTATTAAGAAAATGTATGAAGAATTTAATTCAACATGTCTTCTCCGTTTTTTTTCTTACAAAGAGAAACAACTTCATTAATATTTTCAGCAAAATAGCTTAGCTTGGTTATTTCCCATATTAAATAGAAACTAGGGTGGTTGTCAGCTAATCTGGCGTCATTATAGGAAGTAGGTAGACAGATTTTTACGTTGTGGGGGCAGGGATGTTGCGTCATTTGGTGTACGGTCCTAAGCATGGATAAAAAAAAATTCATCGAAATTATGTTTAAAGAACCGGATCATTAAAAAGAAAGTTTTTTCTTGTTGAATTTAATTTAAATCAGTGGTTTTCATGAATATCAATAATGTAATTTATTTCCAACTTATTTCATATTTATTGTTTTACTAGAATAATAATGCTAATAATAGTATTGTATAACAAAACTGGATAGACCTAGTAATGGTGTGTTTTGTCCCATATAGCTTATCATGTTGACATTTTTCACTGACAGTTTGTTGCCTATATTTTGTTATGCACTTTTACACACACTAAAGAAAAAACATGAACAAATACAAAAAAATTTCAAAGTATTAGATTAAATTTTAATTATTCAAAAATTGCTATGCAAAAATGAATCATCACATGAATGCTTTCATTTTATTGAGAACACAGGCGCATATAATTGTAATCAAAAGGGTGGTCAATTGAATCATTCTCTTCAAAAAGATTTACAAATATCTTAATGTAAGACATTTGGTTTTTAGCCAACAAAAATATATCTTTCATCCCATCAAAATAATTTAGCTTTAATACACACACAATCTTACTCAATAGTTATAACTTAATATTTTGTCACCATAAAAGAAACACACTACGATTGTCAAAATTGATCTACATGTGTTAGTAATATTTTTTTTTTAACATTTTGTTGAACAAATGAATTCAAAAGAATAACTAATTAGACTTACTTATCAGTGTGGAGCCTCATTTCTATACCAAGCAATGTTTTATATTTACCCTAAAATATTTGTACGTTTCCAATTTTTTCAAAATAATGTTCAACAATCACCCTCATTCAAATGTTAAACATTCAATGAAAAACATAGGAGTTAAATATTTAAACAAAATAGAAATTAATGCACTGGCAAATAGCTCAAACAAAGTCAAGAAAAAAACCTGTTACTGTAAATCATGTCATGATAGTTATTTTACAACAGGAAATGGAGAATTTTTAATAACTTGTAAATAAAGAAATAACTACATCTTTTAGAAAATGAAAATACTTTAATATTAATTGACAAAAATATTGAGAACCATATCATGTTTCATAAAAATCTTAAATCAGGAAAAAATTTGTCATTAATTAATGTTTAACAGCTTTCAAAGGATGTTCACTTAAAAATCATCAAATGAAAGACATATTTATATACAGGAAAATATTTAATGCATTTCCATAAAATAATATGAACCAAAAGTGTTGCAACGAATCTTTGGTTTATCAGAAGCAGTATACAAAAAAAAATACAAGTTTAAGGAGCAATTTTTCAAGCGATGTAGTCGTGGTATGTCTGGAGTCAAGTGCTAGAGATTTTGTAGTGTATCATTAGTGGTGGAATTATGCGCTCCCCCCTGTATCTTATAAGATGTTTAGGTGACTGGCATAATATGTGTAGCTTACGTGAATGTGATAAGTAAATAAATATATATAAATTTATTTATCAATATAAACACCTGTATTGATATATACATAGGCTACTTATACATTAGTGTGATTTTTATTTAAACTATCCAAATAAATAAAATAATAATGTAATAAATATAACATACTCTCATCCAGATATAAGACAAATCATCAATTACTTCAGACAAACACAATAAGGCCTCAAGTGGGGGAAGGTTTTCTCAATACACTTGGGTGCATCACCATACTTGTTGATGCGACTGATCTGCTTTTCACTGACCTTCATCTCATGGCTCAGCAAGGAATGTTCTACCGTGGCCTCAAAGAGACCCCCTCCAGGGGTCGTCTCCAGGGTGATCTGAAAGTACTCAAACTCAGAGGTCATGGAGTCGCTCAGGTCCGGCTTGTCACCGTGGATGTCCAGACTCTTCCTAAACTTCAGCATGTCTTTGTTGACCTCTATCTGAAGAACTTGTGACACGGCCTTGACTTCGAGTAGTGCACACTGACTTTTGACCTTAGACAGCATGTCATTGATGGCTTTGATAACAACATTGCTGAGTTTTTGTATGGTTTCCTGTTGATCAACTGTTTGCCAGTTCAAGCATGCGCACCAGTGAGTCTCAATCCCAGCTTCAGCGCAGGTTCTAGATTTGGGCACCTCCCGGAACAAGCTCATACCCCTCTTAAGCGTGTGATCTTTAGGTGGGCTATCTAAATCTAGCATATGGTGGAATGTTTCATGAATATCAAAAGGGCCTGTAAGCCTCTTCAGGTTGGTTTTGAAATGTTCTAACTCTTGCGGGAAGCGTTGTTTAAACGAGGGTGGAAACCTAAAAGAAAAGTAAGGCATTCGTTCTTCTATCTTCCCTTGTGGCGTCGTCCTGATGTTACTGAACCTGGCACCATGGTCTGCCATTAAGATGAGTATAGCATTGTCTAGATAAGAGTTAGACTGCAGATGGGTGAGGAAGTCTAATAAAGTTTGGTCCATCTGAAAACAAAACAACAGTTTAAGCATGTACTTTCTTTGAAATAACTAGGAGTAAATAGCCCTTTAAGAGATACAAAGTCAAGAGAAGGACAGCTGAATAAAAAACAACAAAATGCAAATTTATTAAAAGTAAATCAATTTGAATATTTTGCAACTTTGATACAAAAATCTGGCCTCATTTACCTACAATCCTCTCCTTTATTTTTGTTTTTTACTTTTATTTTTTACAATTTTTTTATATTTTGATTGGTTAACATATGTTTATAGGCTTGAGAGTAGTTGAATTATTTGTATTAGAATTCAACATTATTCTTTATTGTGATTGACTTTCTATAAGACTAAATAGGTGTACTTGAATTACCATAACACATACTCTATAAGGTGATTGAACTAGTCTATCAGACTAATTGGGTCAGCTTAAGACTGATCCAATTAACTAGTTACATTGAACACGGTTTTATCTTATACATCTAGTCTGATACATTTGACAAGTTTTTTTTTTTTAAATTGTCTATAAAGTGTGTTTTTTACGACTCACCTGTTTTAAGTTATTATTGTCCGAATGGCTATACTCTGAATGGAACCCAAAGACAAACTTTGGTTTCATCTGATACATGTGGAAGACATCTCTGAACCAGTTAAAGAACCGGTCTTGGCGCCGCTCTGAGCCAATGCACCAGGGAAGGAATTTTGAATACATGGGTTCAGCAGACAGGAAATACGTTCTCATTGAGTGGTCAGTGGGTTGCTGTTTGAAACCTTTCAGGCGAAGCTGTGTGAAATAGATGTGATTTTTTTTTAGTGATTTGAAATGGTTTTAAACAAGGTGTATCATTGGTGGAAGGTCAGATGTTGGTCGTAAAAGGTTGTCAGAAGACAGAGGTGGGGTTGTTATATGAAGGTTGTAGAGTATTCAGAGAGGTTGCATTGTGGTCATATTTTATGAAGGTTACCAGGTTTTGGCAGTGAGGTCATGGGGTGGCTACAGTCAGAGGCATAGAAAGGGGGGGGGACACATGTCCCCGGGCGCCGACCTTAGGGGTGGCGCCAAATTGAAAGTTTTGAAAGCGAGGGGGTGGGGGAGGTGCAAATGAAAAGTTCGATGGGGGAGCGGGGGGGGGGGGGTGCAAATGAGGGGACGACGACATATGTCCCCGGGCGCCGACCTTAGGGGGTCACCAAATTGAAAGTTTGAGGGGGGGTGCAAGAGGGGGTGCAAATCGAAAGTTTGTCCCCGGGCGCCGGGGAAGGGTCGCTATGCCTCTGGGTACAGGTTTGTCACAAGGTTGTAGAGAACATACAGGGGTATTCTCAAGAAGGTCGCCCCACCCCCTCCCTCCATGTTGATATTTAGAACCTACTTAAAAAGTGCCAGAGTGGGACATATATCCCCCCCCTCCCCATGTAACATAGAACCTACTTGAAAAGTGCCAGTATGTCATAGAACCTACTTGAAAAGTGCCAGTATGAGACATGCCCCACCCCCACCCCGATGTGTCATAAAACCTACTTGAAAAGTGCCAGTATGTGAAATAGAACCTACTTGAAAAGTGCCAGTATGTGACATGTCCTCCCCCCCCATGTGACATAGAACCTACTTGAAAAGTGCCAGTATGTGACATAGAACCTACTTGAAAAGTGCCAGTATGTGACATGTCCTCCCCCCCCATGTGACATAGAACCTACTTGAAAAGTGCCAGTATGTGACATAGAACCTACTTGAAAAGTGCCAGTATGTGACATGTCCTCCCCCCAAGCTGTTACATAGCCTGAGTCATGAAACTGTTTCCATATCCAAGGGAAGTCATCCACCTCCGAGGCCCCCATGAAACCTCTTCTTGCTTGATGAAGGTCAGCTTCCATGTTCCCAGCAAGGATTGGGAGTAAAGCCTGTAAAATAATGAACAACTGCTTTAACCTAACTTAATCAACTGAATGGTAAATAGTAAAACACAATAGTTCTAAATAGGACATTAAAAGCTTTTAATGTTAATGGCCCATATTGAAAGAGAATACGTAAATATGCAACATAAATAACACAAAAATATATATGTATGTGTATGTATGTATGTATATATACATATATATATATATATATATATATATATACATACATTTATATACATATATATATGTATATTTATGTATATATGTATATTTATATATATATATATGTATATATAATGACTTGATCAAAATTTGGTTCAATGCTAAAGAGTGCCGCTAAGAAGAGACCAGTAGAACAGAGCAAACCACAGCTGATCTGTCCAGAAAGACATACCTGAACTGTCCCATCACCTGCAATGTTGTAACCCTCTAATTCCAGACCTCCTAAAGTGTTGATGAAGTAGTCTCTGGTCTTTGGTAGGTTCCTCAACCAAGACATCCTGGATGTCGAGTCAAATCCTGTACAATTAAAATTTTTAATTAACTTTCTGGACATCACAGGTCAAAAGATGACAGTAAAATTGGAAATTACTTATTGGATAAAGTCTTATTATAAATCTTAATTCTCATGAGTAATAATGATAGTAATAAAAGTGGAGATATTCATAAGATAAACACTGGATTTTTTTAAAAAAACTGCCTATTAGGTTATTTATTATTAAACCAATTATTATTTTTTAATTTAAAAGAATCTATATATATAAAGCAAAGTGGTCAAGTGCCCGATAGGGCACTTCCCGGCGCCGCAGGCGCGTCAAATTTGGCACGATGGTGCCTTCGGGCAATAGAACACGAAGGCCGGTGACGGTTTGCCGAAAAGTCTACGGAGAGGGGGTCAAAACTGACCTCGACTGACCGGCGCCTTATATGGGCTATATTACGAAAAAAAATTTCCTCCGACGACCCCCCTTGAAATTTCGTGAGGTGGTAGGAGAACACCTTGGGGTGTCACAAAAAACTCGCCATGTCCGGGAAAAATCGGGAAATGGGTCAAAACTGACCAGTCGTATTTCCCTATATAATCTTTGTATTTTATGGGAAAAACAGAGGGTCATTTCAAAACGGATTTTAGGGCACTTACCCTGTTTACATCTGGCTAATTTTTGACATGCTTATAGGTCAATGGCTTGGCCGTAGGGCGGACCTGTCGGTTTGACTCAAAGCACTCGACGAGGGCTAAAAAGTGACCGCGAGTGAAATTCTCTTTATATGAGCTCTATTACGAAAAAAAATTTCCTCCGACGACCCCCCTTGAGATTTTGTGAGGTGGTAGGAGAACACCTTGGGGTGTCACAAAAAACTCGCCATGTCCGGGAAAAATCGGGAAATGGGTCAAAACTGACCAGTCTTATTTCCCTATATAATCTTTGTATTTTATGGGAAAAACAGAGGGTCATTTCAAAACGGATTTTAGGGCACTTACCCTGTTTACATCTGGCTAATTTTTGGCATGTTTATAGGTAAATGGCTTGACCGTAGGGCAGACCTGTCGGTCTTACTCAAAGCCCTCGACGAGGGCTAAAAAGTGACCGCGAGTGAAATTCTCTTTATATGAGCTCTATTACGAAAAAAAATTTCCTCCGACGACCCCCCTTGATATTTTGTGGGGTGGTAGGAGAACACCTAGGGGTGTCACAAAAAACTCGGCATATCTGGGAAAACTTCGTAAAGCGGTCAAAACTGACCAGTTGTATTTCCCTATATAATCTTTGTATTTTATGGGAAAAACAGAGGGTCATTTCAACGCAGACTTTAGGGTACTTAAGCTCAGTATATTTGGCTAATTTTTTGCATACTCTTAGGTCAATGGCTTGACCTTTAGGGAAAACTGTCGGTTACACTCAAAGCCCTCGACGAGGGCTAAAAAGTGACCGCGAGTGAAATTCTCTTTATATGAGCTCTATTACGAAAAAAAATTTCCTCCGACGACCCCCCTTGATATTTTGTGGGGTGGTAGGAGAACACCTAGGGGTGTCACAAAAAACTCGGCATATCTGGGAAAACTTCGTAAAGCGGTCAAAACTGACCAGTTGTATTTCCCTATATAATCTTTGTATTTTATGGGAAAAACAGAGGGTCATTTCAACGCAGACTTTAGGGTACTTAAGCTCAGTATATTTGGCTAATTTTTTGCATACTCTTAGGTCAATGGCTTGACCTTTAGGGAAAACTGTCGGTTACACTCAAAGCCCTCGACGAGGGCTAAAAAGTGACCGCGAGTGAAATTCTCTTTATATGAGCTCTATTACGAAAAAAAATTTCCTCCGACGACCCCCCTTGATATTTTGTGGGGTGGTAGGAGAACACCTAGGGGTGTCACAAAAAACTCGGCATATCTGGGAAAACTTCGTAAAGCGGTCAAAACTGACCAGTTGTATTTCCCTATATAATCTTTGTATTTTATGGGAAAAACAGAGGGTCATTTCAACGCAGACTTTAGGATACTTAAGCTCAGTATATCTGGCTAATTTTTTGCATGCTCCTAGGTCAATGGCTTGACCTTTAGGGAAAACTGTCGGTTACACTCAAAGCCCTCGACGAGGGCTAAAAAGTGACCGCGAGTGAAATTCTCTTTATATGAGCTTTATTACGAAAAAAAAATTCCTCCGACGACCCCCCTTGATATTTTGTGAGGTAATAGAAGAACACCTAGGGGTGTCACAAAAAACTCGGCATATCTGGGAAAACTTCGTAAAGCGGTCAAAACTGACCAGTTGTATTTCCCTATATAATCTTTGTATTTTATGGGAAAAACAGAGGGTAATTTCAACGCAGACTTTAGGATACTTAAGCTCAGTATATCTGGCTAATTTTTTGCATGCTCCTAGGTCAATGGCTTGACCTTTAGGGAAAACTGTCGGTTACACTCAAAGCCCTCGACGAGGGCTAAAAAGTGACCGCAAGTGAAATTCTCTTTATATGAGCTCTATTACGAAAAAAAATTTCCTCCGACGACCCCCCTTGATATTTTGTGAGGTAATAGAAGAACACCTAGGGGTGTCACAAAAAACTCGGCATATCTGGGAAAACTTCGTAAAGCGGTCAAAACTGACCAGTTGTATTTCCCTATATAATCTTTGTATTTTATGGGAAAAACAGAGGGTCATTTCAACGCAGACTTTAGGGTACTTAAGCTCAGTATATCTGGCTAATTTTTTGCATGCTCCTAGGTCAATGGCTTGACCTTTAAGGAAAACTGTCGGTTACACTCAAAGCCCTCGACGAGGGCTAAAAAGTGACCGCAAGTGAAATTCTCTTTATATGAGCTCTATTACGAAAAAAAATTTCCTCCGACGACCCCCCTTGATATTTTGTGAGGTGGTAGAAGAACACCTAGGGGTGTCACAAAAAACTCGGCATATCTGGGAAAACTTCGTAAAGCGGTCAAAACTGACCAGTTGTATTTCCCTATATAATCTATATATTTTATGGGAAAAACAGGGAAATTTTAACACAATTTTTAGGTTACTTAATGTCTGTACATCATGCTAAGTTTTTGCATACACTAATATAGATGACTAGGCCGTATGGAAAAACTGTTGGTCAGACTCAAAGCCCTCGACGAGGGCTAAAAGATGATCTTGAGTGAAATTCTCCTTATATGAGATATATATATAAATAAATTGACGAACGATCCCCTTAATATTATGTGACGTCGTAGACCGACCCTGGAGGCTAACAAAAAAACTTTAATCCCGTCGGAAACAGCCATTATAGTCGTTAAATATGTTCATATAACGTAATTTCTTATATAAGCAAACAATATAAGTAAACAATGACATACGTCATACGTTCAGTTTTCAAGGGAGGTAACGTTTTTGAAATTATTTTTTTTTCAAATAATTGTATACTATTTTAAACAGAAACAGAAAATGACGAAGTATAGCATTTGTTTTAGTACAAAATTGAGTTGTTAATTAAGTTAAGTAACCTAATTAAATTAATTAATTAATTTCAAAAGGCAGTGTAATATAAACTATGAGATATACTGTTCACGAAACCTGTGTAGTTCTAATTCCATTTTACTTATACATTGCGTACTTTCCAGAAATTCTCCTGGAACGGAATGTAAATGACGAACAAAAACATTATTTTCTAAAATTAGCATTACTGTTTAAATTAAACTTATTAAAGCACTCCACACCCAATCCATCAGTATTCAAATTCTCAAATGTTTTTAAAACCTAAGCGAAGCTAGGCAGTATGCCTAGTTTAATATAAAATAGTTTCAAGAAACAAAAGTAGGTGTATTATTATACCTAATGGATTTTACACAGTAAATACACAAAAGTAGAGATGGACTAGACAAATATTACTGCATTTTATTCCAGATATATTTCACCTAGTATTCTTGAAGACACTGAATAAGCTTACATAGAGGGAAAGATTGATCCTGTGTTTTGACATTATAGCCCATACATTTCATAGTGTGTTGATATTTCTTAGTAATGTGACATGAGCCAAGAGATACATTGCTATGGTAAAAGTCTGAAGTGTGGCTTTCTGTCTTAGTCCTAGTGTATCCCAGAGTCTATCAAGTCCTAATGAGTATGCAACTTAATTAGGCACAGTGCTGCCCCCACAGCATTTATAATTAGTTAGATGAGTTCTACTTCATGTGCCAGATGGCAGGTATTTTTTTTATAAATCCAAAGACTTACCAAACATAAGAACATCATAGCCCATGATTTTGTTCTAGCTAAGACTTACCAAACATAAGAACATCATAGCCCATGATTTTGTTCTAGCTAAGACTTACCAAACATAAGAACATCATAGCCCATGATTGTGTTCTAGCTAAAGACTTACCAAACATAAGAACATCATAGCCCATGATTCTGTTCTTGCTGACAACATGCTTGTACTTTGAGTGAAGGGTGGCATTGAAGGCAACACCTGCATGTACACTATGGTAGCGTTTCCCAGATGGAGAGATACAGGCAACCTGTTAGAGAAATACAAGCAACCTATTAAAGAGATACAGGCAACCTATAAAAGAGATCCAGGCAACCTATAAAAGAGATCCAGGCAACCTATAAAAGAGATACAGGCAACCTATAAAAGAGATACAGGCAACCTGTTAGAGAAATACAAGCAACCTATTAAAGAGATACAGGCAACCTATAAAAGAGATCCAGGCAACCTATAAAAGAGATACAGGCAACCTATAAAAGAGATCCAGGCAACCTATAAAAGAGATACAGGCAACCTATAAAAGAGATACAGGCAACCTATAAAAGAGATACAGGCAACCTATAAAAGAGATACAGGCAACCTATAAAAGAGATACAGGCAACCTGTTAAAGAAATACTGGCAACCTATTAAAGAAATACTGGCAACCTATTAAAGAAATACTGGCAACCTAGTAAAGAAATACTGGCAACCTAGTAAAGAAATACTGGCAACCTATTCTATTACATCAACACAGACAAACCAAACTATTAGAAAAATACAGGGAAGCTTTAAAAGAAATACAGGCAACCTATTATAGAAATAGACAAATATGAGAGACATACGGGCAAACTATCTATCTCTCTGAAAATTGCCATGTCGCCCATGTAGCCAATTCAATACATTTATAGAGTATATAGAGGCCTTCCCTGATTAATTCATAAGAATTACATAAATGTGAGTTTTAATATTCAAGCCCTGGCTCAAACTGCAATTATTACCCAACTGACCCTAATCTCAAATTCCTGATTCCAAATTTGATACTGATAAACAAAATATGGTAGGATTTCCATTATTACATTTTTTTTCTGACATTGTTAAGAAACAAAACCTTTTTCTCCCAGTGCACTGGAAACATCAAATAATCATAGCATTAACATTTGATCAGATACATAATGCATTGATTATATTTACCATTAGATCAGATAGGCCCTACATAATGCATTGATTGTATTACCATTGTGTTTCAAGCAGAAAAAACAAACAAATACTCACCTTAAAAAAATCAGAGACCAAGGGGGTGCCATCCAACATAGGTTTAATGTGTTCTCCCAGCATCACTGTAAAATCGCCTTTTGCCCTGATCAGGGGAGCGTACTCACAAGTAATTAGGCCGTATTTTTTCTTCGCTTCTTTTGATATCCTGAATGTCCCATTATCCACATAGACCCAGTTCTCTTCTGCGGCTGAACAGCTGATATTTTCAAGCCTAAAATTTAAAAAAAAAATTTCTTGATAAATTATTCTAAATGAAATAAAATTTAATTAAAAATTAAATTTTCGACGAAATGAAACAAGATTTGGTAAAGGAAATAAAGATGAAATAAAGAAAGATAAATGGAGAAAGGTTTTGAGTAATAATTTTAATGGGTTATTTCCCTTTGGTAATTCTTACGTGTAATCGAATTGTACAATCGTTGGGTCGCAAGGATTCAGTTCTGGATGAATACATTGTTGACCTTGCCTGCGTTTCGTTGATTCGTGTACGTCACCTAGCCCGTTAGTTTGGTTTGAAAACTGTCTTCTGTTTTAAAAAAAAAAACACATGATTATTTAATGCATAAACTATAGTGTTCAAGGTATAGGCTAGGCTTACATAATGAGTTTTCTCAAATTATTTCGTCTACGGGTAAGCCAACTGCAACCACAATGAGTCTAGTTAAAAAGATTCCTATACATTTAAATAGTCAACTGCAACCACAATGAGTCTAGTTAAAAAGATTCCTATACATTTAAATAGTCAACTGCAACCACAATGAGTCTAGTTAAAAAGATTCCTATACATTTAAATAGTCAACTGCAACCACAATGAGTCTAGTTAAAAAGATTCCTATACATTTAAATAGTCAACTGCAACCACAATGAGTCTAGTTAAAAAGATTCCTATACATTTAAATAGTCAACTGCAACCACAATGAGTCTAGTTAAAAAGATTCCTATACATATAAATAGTCAAGTCCGATTAGAATTGAAAAATATTCCCTTCGAATACGGTAAAAGTGATAACATTAACAGAAACGAGTTTTTTTTTCTGTGGTCAAAATACACGCTCTAGGGGTGGGGGGGGGGGTCGTCAATATAAGACGTCACAGAAAAAGGGGGTTTCAGAAATTGTGACGACACACTATTGTATTATAAAAAGCAATGCTAAAACGCGAATTTTAGCTATTATTTTAGAAAGAAATCGATATTTAAAGAAAACTAAAATGGTGAAGTTTTAAGGATGGGGGAGAGGGGTGCAGGCTGAGGTGTTACGTCTATTTTAGTGGGGGTCTGGCTTTTTGTGATGAGACCATAGGGAGGTAGTGTAAAAATCGTCCATAGGTGTGTCCTTATTTATGAATGACCCCATTTTAGCTACTCGATAATATTTTGAATCGACCCTAAATTAAATCAGAGCCAAGCTAATGATAAAAAAAAGACTATCATAATTATTCATATTTAGATATATTATGGATGTGAATTGTGAATTGTATTTAACACAGAGAGTAACGAAATCAATAATTTTAAAACATTAATTAAAATGATGGAACGATTTTAATCCACTTAAATTTACATAAACAAAAATGTAAAATACCTCATAGAAATTAAAATCCCGAGCTAAAAAATACTACTTCATTAGAAAGGACAATTAGAAATCTTTACGTCTAGAGATCTATATGCAGACAGGGAATGAGTTTAGGCCTATGTCTTCTGCTTCTGGCTAAGACAATACACGTTTTTTCTTTATCTTTTTTTTTTCTTTTCTTTTACAACTGTACCTCTGCAACTGTACCTCTACAACTGTACCTCTACAACTGTACCTCTACAACTGTACCTCTACAACTGTACCTCTGCAACTGTACCTCTACAACTGTACCTCTACAACTGTACCTCTACAACTGTACCTCTACAACTGTACCTCTACAACTGTACCTCTACAACTGTACCTCTACAACTGTACCTCTACAACTGTACCTCTACAACTGTACCTCTACAACTGTACCTCTACAACTGTACCTCTACAACTGTACCTCTACAGCTGTACCTCTACAACTGTACCTCTACAACTGTACCTCTAGCTTTTACAATGAAGTTGAAGACAACACAACTAACCTCTTTTGACAGTAGGTGAGCGTGACGTCAGAGGAAGTGAAATTCCAACCGGCCGTTAACACCCTGAGCTGCTTGATTTGTTCCTGGTCCCACAGTAGAATGTAAACAATGATGACGACAGCAAGGGCGGAGAACACGCCCAGGTTATAGAGACTGCGAAGTTGTAGACACGGCTGACGTCCCCTTAAGTTCTTGAAAACCTTGAATAGAACCCTAAACCGCATGGCTTGGAGTGGTCAGTTTCGATCGCCCATCTCTGAGAGGGGTCAACTTGGGTCATGTACGTTGCCGTGTCTGGGCATGGTGTTTGGCTGTAGAAGCAGACGACAAAAGAGGAGGTTAAAAAAAAGGAAGGAGGGGTGGGGTGAGTGATAAATCAATCAGTTTATATGGTTTAGTTAGCCTGGTGATTTGATTACGACGTACTTAAATTTAAAACCAATCAGAGGTCCGTATCGATTCAACATAATTTTGTATTCGCACATAGAGAACTGTAGTTGAGGATCGGTATCCCCAGAAATAGGACTAGGACTACGGGTTAGGTAGGGGGGGGGGGCACTTGAAATTTTCGGGGGGGGGGGGGGGGGCGGTAGACTTTCTTCAGGTAGGGGGCGGACACTGTTAAAAGTATATATTTCTATATAAATTTCATTTGGTTAGGGGGGTAGACTTTCTTCGGGGGGCGGACACTATTAAAAGTATATATTTCTATATAAATTTCATTTCGTTCGGGGGGGGGGGGGGGAGTAGACTTTCTTCGGGGGGGCTCTGCCCCCCCCCCCCCCCCCCATCCCGAAGAGATGCCTGGAAGAAACTCTGGTTAGGGTAAGAAGAGTTAGAACCAGGGTAACAATACAAGCAAACAACAGCAACATTAACATGTTTCACATTTTAATGTAGCGCCAAGAACCGTGGTAGGATTTACAGTTGTCCCCCACTGACTTCTTCTTCTTCTTCGTTCTTACATTTTAGTGTTGGAAGGGGTTTATCTGCCAGAGGGTTTGAACTTGAAACTTTTTTCGAATTTATCAACCATGAGATTTTGCCGACTCGACAACTCTTCCATCACAATTAAGGATACGTGTCAACTGGTTATGCGCCATTGAGGCCATTGACTCCGATTTCAGCCTGATTTTCTTTTAGGATTTGCTTCCATAGCATTTGTCCAACCAAGAACAAACTACCACGCAGCAGTTGTTTGATTTTGGAGTTTTCTCTCCTAGAAGAGTGGCTGTCCCCAGCTAACGAGCCTCATCTGCCCGAGGGTTCGGTCTAGAGACTTTCGGTTTAGCAACCATGAGCTTTACCGACTCGACCATTGACTGATTTCAACCCCGCTTCAAGCGCGTGCTAATATATTTAGCTCGTAGCGTCGTGTGGAACAGTAAACTTGAGTAAACAGATCTATGATTAATTACGAACGACACCCGATGCTGATATAACTAATCGTACTTTTCGTTTTCAGAATATAATATTATAGTAATATAGAACCTAGATCTAGATAAATCTAGATCGATATTACTCTAGCTAGATTCTAGAATACTCTAGCTAGCATCTACATTTAGACTAGAGTCTAGATCCTTATTTCTAAAATAAAATTCTAAACCCCTAACTGAATAATAAATAAGCGAAAGCTCTGCCTAGCTCAAAGTGCGGTAAAATCACGATATAGCGTCGGTTATTATTCCGGAACTGTATAGCAGTAAAAAACAGTAAAACCATGGCGTAGTCAGTCGAGCCGTTCCGGAAACCACCGGAAATACTGTAAACCATCATTTATTTGCCGCCATATTATTTTTAATACATAATGTTTAAAAATGTGCAAGGATTGATTTTAGTTGCATTTTAAATACTGTTTTGCTAATTATTTTATATTTCTAATTATTTTAAGTGTATGTGCTAATTATTGCTGCTACTAAACATTATTCTAGTTCTTCTTACTACTTTTAACTTAGGCCTAAGTAAATCTAATCGTCTTATTTTACTAACAGAACTAGATCTAGAGCTGGTTGTCGCAAATCTTCTGCAGGTTTTTTCTGTTTCTTAAAATAAAAACATTAATTACTACACTCGAATTCATTAATAATATTTAGATTTACTAATTGTTGCTAATTTTTTGTCAGTTAAACGTTAAATTAAGTTAAAACATTAATTTAATGCACTTGACTTTATTTATCTTTCAACGGTCAAATAAACTATGGTTTACAGTAACGAATGTTACCGAAACTCAACGAACATTACCCAATAATTTCCGACGCTATATCGTGATTTTACCTAAAGTGCCTTAAAGGGCATTAATTAATAAGGCTAAGCCCCTTAAAAAAATCATATAAAAAATGGCTTTAAAAAGCAAAGTTTAACCGGCGCCTAAAACGCAGTTTGATGACTGCTACGCGATCCATAAACAAATAGATCTAGAATTCTAGATCTAGTTCGACTTGATAATACTAATTTACTACTTAAGCGCTAATTAATAAACCATTAACTAGATCAAGATCTACCTGTAATAAACTTTAAAATTATTTGTCCGGTTGATAGCACAAACAACAAAGCTGTCCTTTTACTTTACTATCCAGTTAGATCTAGATCTAAATTCTGCTGCATTCGTTGCAGTTAGTCAAGTTGAAATGTGAAATTGCGTAGCCGTTCACTTCCGGTGTAGGAAAGTGCGCGGCGGTTTGTTTACAAATAGCTAACAGGAAGCCACAGAGCGCGCAGTATGTTATTTTAATGGCTTGTTAAAATTTTAGTTAAAAGGAACAGATATTATTTGTGAACTTAATGGAGGCGAGCGAGTTGACGAGATTCCTTCCATAATGTTGTTGTCATGGAATAAAAACATGCTTTTTAGATTTAGACCGTAAAAAAAAATAAAAAATAAAAACTTAAGCCTAAAATTAATTTAGAAATTTTATATTTTTAGAATAAATGCTATAAAAGTTGCAAATCCAGAGAACTTGAAAATAATTTGTTGAGTTTAAGGCTACATTTCTATTTATTTTCATCAAGCCTAAGTTATAACCGGATGTTTCACTTTCGTAAGACAAATATTGATTGGCTGTACAGTAACTTAGTGATCGATAACTATTTGTTTACAAAACTTTGCAGATCAAGTTTTTAAATAAATATGCAAATTTAAAACCCCATGACCTAGTTTTCTATTTTTAGCTTACAATGTGTACAATAAAATCAATGGCGGCCTATCCAATAGCAGGATGCCATTGTTTATGTCGCCATTACACGTGAAAACCAAATTGTTTTTGCTTTTTTTTTAAATTTTTATTTAGTTACCGAAAATATTATAAACATCAAATACATTCAATCTTTAATAAAGTCCGAAAAAAACCAGACAGACAGGATTTTATAACCATATTAATTGTAACTACGCCGTGCAAGAATTTTAAATTAATTTATACACCTCTCAAACACCTTTGAGACTTTTCTCGCTCGTGTCCATTATCCAGAGTGACTAGGAATAATAGGGGGGAGCAGTGGAGGTTAACCTGTAGGCTGATACAGTGGCGTAGCGAGGGAGGGGGCGGGGATGCCCACCGCACCGGGTGACACCATTTAGGGGGGTGACACCAAGGCAAAAAATAGCAAAATATATAGAGAGAAAAATGACTATTCCACTTAATTAAGTGATTAATTCGAGTGTAAAATAATCTTTTAAGAGGTGTAAATCGAAAGTTTGAAGGAGGGTGCAAATCGAAAGTTTGAGGGTGGGGGGGGGGGTGCAAATCGAAAGTTTGAGGGGGGGGGGGGTCCCTGGGAAGCTACATATGGGTCTCTGGGCGACGACCCTAGGGGCGCCAAAATGGGTTGAAAAAAAGCTAATTTTAGCTGCAGTTTTGAATTATAAATATAAAAAATATATGGGGGGGGGTGCCAAATTGAAAGTTTGTCCCCGGGCGCCGGGAGGGGTCGCTACGCCTCTCTGGTTTCAGTATCTAGTCTTAACACTATAGGCGACAGTATTATATTCAATACTTCAAATACTGAAATTTATAAAACAATTCAGTAAAGAAAAAGACTAGGAAAAAATGTAGAGTTAGAGGAATTGTAGGAAGCAGATGCCTGGCAGCGATGTATGTTCTGGGGCTCTTAGTTAAACAATTACAATAAGCTTTTCTAACGCAGTGAGTCAACCGCAGCATCATCTGTGGTGTTTATTGTCTTGGTTAAACAATTACATTAAGCTTTTCTAACACAGTAAGTCAACCGCAGCATCAGCTGTTGTGTTTATTGATTGAAAATTCTACTTTGGTTTCCGACGGAAATGTGGGCCCATGCTTCAAAGCGTGCTGTTGTTGTTTTGTGTGCTGTTAACTGTGCAGTTGGGCTAAGAGTACCTGAAGTTGAGTACTGCATGTAAGCGTGCTCTGGAGTATGAAAATTCGTGTAAAGTGTGTTTTTTTTTTTCTCCACTGCTGATATTGATTTTAATCAAGTAGGCAGGTAGGAAATGGTGGGCAAAGAACCAGTGTTTCTTTCTGACATTTTGGGGCGGGGGGGGGGGGCAATTGAAACTTTCGGGGGTGGGAGGGGGGAGGGGTACACGACGACGACTGACATCGGTTAAAGCTTAAGATATTTTATTTTCTATATAATAGGCTCTGTATTTTCAATTCGTTCGGTGTGGGGAGGGGGGGGGGGGGGGAGGCGATAACGTGCCTCTGGTTTCATATTGGCATTCACCGAACCCTTCTTAATAGTTCTATGGTTCGCACTGACTTAATTCGATCGTAAAACACGTGACTCACAGAACCCCTAGGGTTCGTTCAAACCCAAGTTAAGAACCGCTGATCTAAACCGAACCTTGATTACAGTTTGACGTTAAACACTTGTATATCTTCTCTTAATTTTTATTTTTTATTTTTGACATTTGCATTTTAATGAGACAACCATACTAAAACATAATTGAAATCTTGACATAAGAAATAAAATAACACATCTGTTAGGTAAATCTGTCAGTAGTGATTACGTCCCATCGACCACGACCAACTTAGCCCATTCGTTTTAGCTTAAATCGATCTATTGGTTTTTTGTTTAAAGAGGTGTGTTGAATCTGTTGATAGGGGACGTTGTTAATCAAATTGTCATGTCAGTGTCATATTGTATGAACACACAACAGTCATGTGACAATACAAATTACATACGTACCCATATATCTACGTAAAGTCAAATAATAAAAAAAATAGTGAGAAAGATACGCAGAATAATAATTTTTTGATAAATAACGGTTAGTATTTTAAATGATAAAATAGCTTGAATCAAGCCTTATCTTTGTAGGATATTTTTTCGTTTTTAA